AAAGTTTTCTAAACTATACTCATATCTGGACATATAACAATAACTGATCATTTGATATTGGAATTAGCATTTTGCTTTACAACAACTAGCATATATATTTACAAAAAATAATTAAACTAGAAGATTAATTAATTTATATCAAACTTATCTTCAAATAATTAGTAAATCTCAATATAATAGGATGTTATTTGCCAGCAGTAAACTACAGATAGAAAAAAAAAATCAAACACAAACTTATGTAATACATAAATAATATAATATCATATGAAAAATATATCATAATAGAAGGAGATTTCAATGAACATTACTTTCAATTACTCAAGCATAATCTAACTAATTTATTACTCTTCAAAGAAATAAATGATGAATTTTATCTCAAATATCCAGAATTACTTAATTACACATGAACAAGTTAACAAATATATTATCAACTAGACACAATCTGATACTCATCACCTATTGCTAATTATCTCAAGCATATATCAATAATAGAATAATAATAGATTGAAACAAATCACCTACTAGTAATTAACAACTTACATATCATCTTATTTCACAGAATATCACAATATATATTAATTAGTATAAAAGAAAAAAATTTGCATACAAAGTCAAAAATATCTCAGATCAAACATGACTAGAATACCAATCCTTAACAGCAGAAATTTTTCAAAAAACAGAATCTGATAATACATCAATCAATTCCTAATAAATCAAAATCAAAAAGTCTATAATATAATCAGTTAATAAAATATTAAAGAAGATAAACATAGCTAATAAAAAAAATATATTAAAAACAATATGCATAATACAAAAACAGATCTCTATACTTAACTTAATAACTTACTTTTATATACATATTCAAAATTAACAAGAAAAATACATAATCTTAACATCACTCATTAATAAATATAATAACTCCAAATCAACTTCCTCACCCATATTATCAGATATTTGTAAAACAGATTGGCTTCAAAAAGTAAAATAATAATAAAAATCTCTAGCAATAAAAAAGATATTAGAAACAAAAAAGTGCAAAGCAGAAATAATTACAATTAACATTAAGAAAAATCAACAGCTACTTTATCATAATCCTGACATAATACTTTATAACTTACTAGACAGAAACTATCAACAAATTTCCATTATCAAAGTATATCAAAATAATTAACTCACAGACTATCCTATTAAAGTTAAAGAACTAGTAAAATAATACTTTCACCAATAGACATGCTATAGAAATATCACACCCTTTTCAAATAATTAATGACATAAATAATACAAATTATAAGATCATATATCAGACTTAGCATTCTCTATCATCTGTAATCCAATATTTCATAATGAATTTCTAAATACTCTTACAGCAGCTTTCTTTTTCAAAGCTCTAGATCCAGATAATATATATAATATTCTATTTAAAAAATATGATTATATAATTTATAATACTCTTATTAACTTATTTAATAATCACATACAAAAAGCAGATATACCAACAGAATGAAAAAATACTACTATAACTCTTATTCCAAAACTATATAACTGGAAAAGAAATCTAGATCTCATATGATCTATAATACTTATCAATAATGCTAGAAAACTCTTCTTTCACATTCTTACAAGCTGCATCTTAATAATATACAAAAATCTCAAAATATTATAGAGCTTTAATTCATCAGTACTTCCCAATACCAGCATAATTGCCTCTATCCACATACTCAATAGTCTGCTTGAAGATGCATGCTCTCACAAAAAAGAAATCTGGTACATCTTTCAAGACATAAAATGAGCCTATAACTCTATCAGTTAGATAATACTATTCAAAGTACTTACATGAATAAAAATACATTCTTAATATATTAATTTTCTAAATAACATTCACAACTCCTACTTTAATTAAGTAATCACTACATATGACAATACAGAATAATACCTAGTACTTGATAGTTTAGATCAAGAAGAAGTTAACATTTCTATCTTCTAATATATATTTTATGATCCTCTACTTTGCTATATTAATATATATCATCAACAAGATAGATACACAATCTCTATATTATAGATATCATCTATATATTCTTCTAATCAGTCTATAATCTTCAAAATAATTAATCATAGCACATACGTAAATAATATAATCTGGCTTGTTCACTCATTAATCAGCATGCAAAATATTCTTAAATCAGCCATCTAATTTTATAATATGTGCAACATCAATATTAATACTTCAAAAATAGAAGCACTTTAACTTAATATAAATCCAAACTTCTCAATACCAATCTTATACTTTGAAAATGAAAATACATCCTTAAAAATTTTATAACCAACAAAAAGTATAAAATACCTAGATCTTTGGATTAGTGAAGATGGCAAATTCCAAAAATAATAATAAGTAATCAAACATAACATATAATACATATCATATATACTAGCATAGAAAAAACTTAATCATTAGCAAGTTATATATATTATTAATAATGTTCTATTTCTAGCTATCAAATATCAATCATAACTCATCATTCTCTTCAAAATATTTTGCTTATCAATAATACAACACTGCAAAAAGCTACTAAAAGTTAAAGTAGGCATAGTACAAAATATACCTGACATCCTTTTATATTATAAAAATTATTTTAATCTAATAAATATATAAAAATTACAATCACAGCACAAAATAAGTGAGCTCATATACTACATCAATGATACAGGCTTACTTGGTCAAATAACTCAAATTAGACTATGAAATCTACAAAAACAAAGATGGCTCTCACACTTAATACTCTCAATTCCAACACTTAAATACTCTTTTCCTGACAAAAATCTTATTGTAAGTATTCTTCCTCTAATAGCAAAAACTAATATTAGCTTTATTATATCCAATACCATATAGCAACTAATATCACAGTTCTCTAACACTTTCTATAATATCATCAAATCCTGGTCTCTATATCTCAAATATTACTCAATTCTAAAAAAAAATAAAGTAATATTTCTCAAACAACTCACCAAATATAATAGAACATATCTCATAATATAAAGACAATACAAAAAATAATTTAGACAAAAAGCACATGAAGCAAAATCCAAATAGTTATTCACAATACTTGAGCAAATAATTTTACAAGATATAACTACTTGACATATCTATAATCAATATAGGTCATTATTAACATTATCACTCATCACTCCTTAAATCTCAGTTATGTCACACTTTACTAACCTAAATAGATCCACTATCTTATGGTAACAAATATACACTACACTTAATAATTCTCTAAACCCACTCATAATTTACTCAAATGAATCAATACAAAACCTACTCATAATATAAGTAAAAGCAGCTGTCACATAGACAACATGGCCATCTTTAAAATTAATTTCCTTCTTAATATCAGAAATACTATCTATTACTAAAGCAGAAACCCTCACAATTTGCATAATATTCAAATATATACCACCAGAAAATTATATCATAATTCATACAGATAGTCAAGCTGCTATACAAGAATACAAAAAGAATATCACTAATTGACACTCTCTCTTATAATAAAAACTTTATCAACAACTATATTGGCATCTATAGAAAATCTTAGCTTACAATATCCAAATAAAAAATATACACTTCAAAATAAATAAAGTAAAAGACCACTCTGACAATTCTGACAATGATATAGCTGACAGACTAGTAAAAAAAGGATATACTCAATTACTAATCACAAACAAACTCTAATACTTATCATCAACTAAATATCTTCCTATCTTCTGCAAGAATCTCTTAATCAACTTTAATTTCTGACATTTTATTAAATACTTTCATAGTAATCAAAATATTCTTATATGATAATAATTCACAAGCATTAAAAACTTTTTGTCACCTTCTCTCATTTCCCTAATAAACTAAAAAGCCTCCTATCACTACTAGAAATACATAAACAAAAGTAATCTTACTCATATTTCTAATCAAATATTTATAATCAAAATTATTACATTTTCTTTTTCTATTCTTAGCCTACTCTCAAAATGCAAGCCAGCATTATATAATAGTAATCTATACTTTTGATATTAATCTTATCTCAAAACAATTAATTATACATGGAAATACTTTCACTTAATAGATCTCTTATATACTCTTCTATCAGCTATTTCACATAAACTGGCTTCTCTTATTCATCCTCATCTAACCTTATCATCACGTATAAACATCATCACTCTCACAACAACCTGTAGATAATTTATTAACTCATAACTATCTAGCTTATCAACAAATATTTTGCTATCTTCCTCATCTATCTCTATTATTCATCTTTTAGATAATCTAGTTCTATGTACACTAATCTCTTTTCTTTTCACCTTCCTATTCCAAACCAAAACTCTTCAAATCTCAGTTATCTTCATATACTGATTTATATTAAAATTTTGAAAAATTATATGGCTCTCCCATTGCCAAGCACAATTAAATTTTGAATATCAATCATATATAATAGTCAAAATAAAATGCTCATTAATCACAAGTATCAATTCTAAAGGCAAACTCTCAGATCACATATTTTCTATACCTTATAATATAATTTTCAGAATATAAACAGATCTAAATCTTTGCAAATATTAACATTCTTCTTCCTTACACATCAATAATACTTATCCACTATCAGAATACATCAAACTAGCACATACTAACTTCATTAAGCAAAAGTTGTAGCTGATAACCTTTTATAATAATCTTCTTAACTTCACAGTACTAGTTTAATTTTAGATTAGTCTATCTGTAGCTAATCATATTAGCATTTTTTTTAAGAAATCTTTCTGGTAGCTTATTTTGTATAATAGAAAACTGTCTCTAGAACAGCTTAAATTTTGTAATTTAGCATAGTTTTTTACATTCTAGGTAGGATTACACTGTAATATGCTAAAATAATAATAATAATAATAATAATAATAATAATAATAATAATAATAATAATAATAATAATAATTTGCTCAGTTTCTGAATACGCTCCCACCAATAGTCATATCAACATATTTACTAATAGCCAAGCAGCCATACAAGGCTTTAACAAAAACATAACTAACAGAAATAATTACTCCCAACGCAAACTATATCAACAACCATATTGACATCTCTGAGAAATTCTTGCCCACAACATCACTCAAAAAAATCTATTAATCAAACTCACAAAAGTAAAGGGATACTCCAATAACTCTGACAACGACCTTGCAGATAAACTTGCAAACAAGGGATGTACACAATTACCCATATTAACCAAGACACACAATTTACCTTCCATCATATACTCTCCAGTCTTTAATAATTCCACATTTATTGACTCTAACCTACGGCACTTCATCAAATATTTTCATATCAGCAAAACTATTCTTACCTGGCAAAACTCCTCCTCCATACAAAAAATTCTTTCCCAATCGATAATACATCTCATTGATTGGAATGCCATCCACAGAACTTGGAAATTCATAGATAAAGAACATCTTACGCATATCCCAAATCAAATTTTTATGATCAAAATACTTACCTCTGCCTTGCCCACTCTGAGTTTTCTCTCTCAACGCAAACCCCACATTTATTCTGATGATCTATGTACAAGATATCAATCCTCATCTGAAACAATAAATCATATATGGGAGTGTTATCACTCTTCTAAACCTCTTTATTCTCTTCTCTCCTCAATCTCACATAAGCTAGTATCACTTATCTATCCATCTCTTTCACCCAGCTCTCGCTCTTCCTTCTCTGTCACATCATCACAATGCTGACAACTCATCAACAATCAGCTACCTCAGCTATCGCCAGATAACTCTCCAGCTCCTAATATCTTTTCAATCAAACATCTTCTCTGTGATCTTATACCACTCGTCCTTACCACCTTTCTCAATACTTTATTCTTCAAATCCAAATCCTCACAAATTTCCTCTTATTTCACACAGTGGTTTATCACTAAATTTTGTAAACTTATTTGGCTTCCTCACTGCCAGTCACAAATTGAGCATGAAAGACATTCTCACATCATCCGAAAAATGAAACTTTCATCCACCTCAAGTATCAATCTGAAGAGTAAACCTCTAGGACACAAAGCTATCACTCCATATAATTCTATATTACGCACATACTCAGATCCTAATCTGTACAAATGCTCATTCCCCTCATCTCTTCACACTAACAACATATATCCTCTAGCAGGCCGCATTAACTTAACTCTCGTCTAATACATAGAACAAAAACTACATCTCGCAGTATCACATACCTCTCTTCTTAACTTCACATTGTCAGTCTAATTCTAGATTGGCCCATCGGTGGCTAATCATATTGATACCCTCTACTAGATAGACAGTTCTGGTAGCTCTCTTTGTATAATAGGAAGCTTGTCCTTAGGACAACTAAAATTTCTGTATTTTAGCATAGTTTCTTACATTTTGAGTAGGATTACACTATAGCATCTTAAAATAATAATAATAATAATAATAATAATAATAATAATAATAATAATAATCTATAGGAAATTCTAGCCTATAACATTCAAACAAAAAATATACACCTAAAAATAAATAAAGTAAAAGGCCATTCAGGCAACCCTGGTAATGACATAGCCAACAGATTAGCAAAAGAAGGATGCAATCAGCTATCAATTACAATCAAACTTCAACATCTATCATCAACTCAATATCTTCCCATCTTTCACAAGAATCTCTTAATTAACTCTAATCTTTGACACTTTATCAAATATTTTCACAACAGTCAAAATATTCTTACATGACAATAATCTATATGTATTAAAAACTTTCTGCCACACTCTTTCATCTTTCTAATAAACTGGAAAGCTTCTCATCACTGTTGGAAATACATAGATAAAAATAATCTCACTCACATTCCCAATCAAATATTCATAATCAAAATTATCACATCCTCCCTCCCTATTCTCAGTCAACTTTCAAAATGCAAGTTAGCACTATACACTAGTGATCTATACTTCAGATATCAATCTTATCCCAAAATAATCAATTACATATGGGAATGCTTTCACTTAACAGATCTCTTACATATCTTGCTATCAGCTATTTCACATAAACTGGCTTATCTTATCTATTCCCATCTAACCCTATCATCACACACAAATATTACTACCCTCACAACAATTTGCAGACAATTCATTAACTCACAACTACCCAGCTTATTAACAGATATAACACCATCCTCCTTACCAATCTCTATTATTCATCTTCTAGATGGCCTTGTCCCACATACACTAACCTCCTTTCTCCTCACCTATCTTTCTCAAATCAACACACTTCAGATCTTCACTCTCTTCATACACTAGTTCATATCAAAATTTCAGAAAATAATATGACTTCCCCATTGCCAAACATAAATAACTTCTGAACACTAATTATATATAACTGTCAAAATAAAATACTTACCTATTATCAGCATCAACTCTAAAGGTAAATCTTCAGGCCATACATTCTCAATCTCTTACAATATAATCCTCAGAATACAAACAGATTCAAATCTCTACAAATACCAACTTTCTTCCTCTTTACATATCAATAATACTTGTCCACTAACAGGATGTATCAAAATAGCACACACTAACTTTATCAAGTAAAAGTTACAATTAGCAACTTCTCATAATAATCTTCTTGACTTCACAGTGCCAGTTTAATTCTAGATTGGCCTATTGATGGCTAATCACATCAATATCTTCTTTAAGAAATTTTTCTGGTAGCTCACTTTGTACAATAGGAAACTGTCTCTAGAATAGCTAAAATTTTATAATTTAGCATAGTTTCTTACATCCTGGATAGGATTACACTGTAGCATGCTAAAATAATAATAATAAAATAATTTAAAAAACTTCTTTTTGCATCTCTTCCCTATTTATCTCTTGACCAGGTAGAGCTACACTTTACCAAGCGCAAAAATTTCTTTTTAATATAATAAAATTACTACACAATATATAGACTCTACCAACAGAAAGCTTCACTCATCTTACATATTCTCTTTTTATTATTTCTCAATACTACTTTAGCTCTACAATTCTTCTTATTATTCTATTTTTTTTTTATCTCAAAAATTTATTATAAAAAACAAAAATAATAAAAAATCTCAAAAATATATAAAAATATACAAATCTATAATATTCTCTCCTAACACTTCATTATCATGTCTACTAACAATACCAAAAATAAAAGAACTGCTAACTCTTCTTCTTCCTCTTCTCCTATATACACTACTATACAGAATTTCTTAGATATATCTTCCTCATCTTCAAATAATATCAATAAGCAAATTTCTATCAGCATATCAAATAATTTATCTGATCTCTAATCTTTCCAGCAAATAATTCACAATATATAATCACAAGCTAATTATATCAAAAAAACAAAAACTGATCATATTGATGAAATGGAATCAGTTAATACAAAACAAACAAATAATACACTTCAAGTAGACAATACTCACACAGCTCCATTTCAATCAGCTGATCTTGAAGTAAATCCTTCCTCATTCAGCAACATACATATTCTTTCTTCTTTATTACACAATAAATACATAATTAATCCAATCTTATCATTTAATAATATAACCCCAAAAACTATATCCTCTGATTCTGCTGACAATTAATAAATCATCATATATAGCACTAAATGATTCAGAGGATGGATCAAGAAATCATCACTCCCTGAAAATAATACTAAAGACAACATCAAATACATCAATAACATCTTTCAAAATAATCCAGGCTTTTTAAGAGCCAAATTATTTTTTCTTGACCAAACAAATTATATTTATATTGAATTTATATCAGACAAATCTCTTCAGACAGCTCTAGATATCTCAGTAAATAATAATTACATCTCTGACAAAAAATCACAATCCAATAATCCAATCAATCTAATGATAATTATAGTATTAAGAGATGTTTCTCTTGAAATAACTAAAGATCAGATTCAACACATAATGAAAAAATTTGGAAAAATCATCAATATAACACAAAAAATCATATCCAAATAGACTTATACCAAAGTTCAATTCAAATCATCAGAACAGACAGAATTAGCTATTAATGAATAATCTACTCTTCTAGGTACTGATTGTATACATATTCTTCCAATAATTAATCAACTTAAAATAATTGAAAAAAGAGATATATATATAACTAAACTTCTCAATCTTTCTTACGGAATAACAGCCTTTGAGCTTGATGATTTTTTATAAAAAATTCAAGCCAAATCTTGCTTCATTTCTCACTCCTCTATTCATTACAACAGATAATGCTTTGTTATAATCTTCTTCAAAAATGAAATTGACATGACAATAGCTATGCAACAGCACTTTACACTTTGCAACTTAAAACTTTATTAAAAATCTTCAACTGTAAAAACATGCAGAATCTGCTTTAATCCCAACCACAACACAATTTTATGTACATTAAAAAACAAAAAAGCACATCAATATTAACAACTCAACAAGCTGTATGAAAACTGGAACATCTTCTATCACAAACCTATAATTACTTCACCAATTCTCAATTACAAAAAAGTCTTACTTCAATTTAACACAACTAATAAAGACAAATCCAAATCTGCTAATAACTCAACTACAAAAATATCTAAACTCTCACCAAATCCAACTCTCACAAAATACTCACATGAAATTCTTGTATTCAAACAGGACTTAGAAACTTTTAACAAAAAACTCAACCTGCTAAAAAATAAATTAAATTCAATAGAAATAAAACTTGATATAATTATCAATAATCAGAAATAGGTTCCTGTCATGCCAATCTTTAATAATTCTTAACCATCAATCTATTCTAAATCACTAACATTTAAGTCACTCACTACTTCTATCACCACCACAACATCTACATCTTTAGACACAAATAACACAAACTCTCAGTCTTCCACAATTTTATCCCTTCAAACTACTATTGCTGAAAAAAATAAAGAAATCACTCATCTCAAATCTCTTAATCAGAACCTCACATCTAATTTATAATCTCTATGAAATGAATAAAAATCTTTACAAGAATGTCTAAACCAAATTGAATAACACCTTTCTAATGAATCATAACAATAACTCAAATATATCTCAACCAATTCAACCAAATCTAATAACTAATTCACTATTCATACACATTAATAACTCATTTTTCATAAATAAGTTAGAATACTCAAAATCTACTAATCTAAATTAACTATCATCTTCAATACTTCCAATAGAAAATTCAGTCACATTTGATAATAATGATAACTAACTCTTCAATGATAA